TTGCCCTTCAATCTGACACTGGTTTGTGTTCACATTAGCACAYTGCCCTCTTCTGGTTGTAATAAAAACTGTTTCTCATTAAATGTTAATTCTGAAACTTATTTTTCAATTATTTGTTGTTTTTAATTCCATATTATTTCAATTCATCAAGAAACTGATCAACAAAAAATGTTATTTTTGAATTTCTTTTTAGTCTCATCTAAAGGAGAAAGAAGGATRAAAGAAGAAAGAAGCATGAGGGAAAATGTGGTTTTCATCTCTGCCATGAATGATTTGGCACCTATAATAATATTATAAACAGTTYATTTAAAGCACCTGTGACATGTCTGTCCTTCAAAYACAAAAAGTCAAYGAAAACATCTTTATACTTAAGAAAATTGGCATAGTACACATGATTTTACCCATAATGTCACATAACTGGCATATTTTCTTTTGAAACTGGCTCAGCCAAAGTGAAACAGGAAGTGACATCAAAGGGGAACTCATTAATAAAATAAACTTGCTAGTCTCGGTTTATTAAAACAAAATTATTTAAACTTTAACTCTTCTTTGTCTCTCTTTGCTAGTGACTCAAAATAATCTAAAGAAACATCAGATTCTTCTCTACAGTCTGTGTTGTTAGCTTTTGTAACACTCTGTTCACATGCTGGCATTCCCCTTTGACATCACTTCCTGTTACTTCACACACAAATATCTCAACAACTTTTCACCTTAGCGATGTGAAATTTGTTTTGCAGTATGTTATCAATGTTCTCTTTCTAAAAGCGCATTCATGTTTATTATAAAAAAAATTCATGTCACAGACACTTTAAGGGAATTAGATTATAAAATCATATAAAATCCATCTAATTTTATATGCCAATGGCACCTGGGCAAAGCCTTTTTATGTCTGACTGATATTTTTACTAAGGTGGTCAAACATCAAATGTTYGTATATTATTTTTAAAAAGGTTTAGCCTTTTTAGGAAGCAACTAAGAATAACATCATCTAGTGGTTCAAAAATAAAATATAAAAAAATCTTGCCATCAAGATTATTTAGGTGACGTTTTTAACCACTTAAAACTCAAAAGCTTAGTTTTTGCCTACTTTATTTTCTATGCAAAAATTCTTATCACATCTGTTTTTCATCTCATTATCAACATTTTTATGCCACATCAAAATAAGCATTCTTTAAATGTACCATTATGTTTTTTTTTATTAACAGTGACATGCATACATTTAACTGCAGTGCTAATTAGTGCTGATGAGTACCAGCCCCTCTCTTACTCATCAAGCCAAAATTAATAAAACATTCTACAGCCTCAAGAACTCATCAAGTGGCTGTAACTGTACTGAGATCACACACACACACACACACACACCCTCATGGTACTTGAGCATCGCGTAAAATCACGCCTGATTAATAAATTTAGTAAAAGTGCATTTGAAACAACTGGATAACTCGCTCCTTATAA